CATTGTACAAGTAGTACAATGACAATAAAGATTTCTATTCTATTCTAGAAAAGAGCTGACCAACCAAAGAGCTGATGCCTGTGGAGAAATTCTTCAAAGAAATCACAGATCCCTTTCCTCTTCCTGCAAACAGCGCAGTGGACCATAAACCTGTCAGGGAGGTCTCCTGAATGCCAAAGAGAGAAAAGGCCAAAGACAATGATGATCCCTTGATTCTTACCCCACAAGAGCACTGCTCCTTCTCTCTCCTTCAGGATTCCTCTTGGCAGGGACCCTGGTCTGGTTTCCAATGGACCCTTCACAGTTTCAGGGAATTCAGGGACAACTTCTGGAAATTCTTTACTTTCCTAAATAAATAAATAAAATAAAGGCAAGATCTAAACATTACAAAAGGAATGAAAACACTTGTTAGAACTGTTTTCAGATATCTGTTTGACATGCTCTGAGTTATCTAAAGGAAATGTTCTCACCTGCTGAGGCAGGAGAAATATTTCTCCCAAGGCCACCACCTGGTCATTGGCCTCTGAGGCGTGTTCTCTCTCCAGGCTCTCCATATTCGGTGGAAGGGCTACTTAGTGCAGGATCAGAGTCATTGAGTCTTATTCTAGTTTTGGCCAATGACAGCAGAGAAACTCGATCATTTTGCAAACTCTTCAAGGGCAGCAGTATCTCTGAAAGTCCTGGTGCTGTGTAACTGAGCACAGAGCATCCTCTTCCACGTCCTGAGAAATGCCCACTGCTCCTATATCTTTGTCTAGATGAGATCTTTTCTTAAAGGAAATTTGAAATCTCCCAACAACTTCTCATTTCTGTCAAAAGTGCAATCTTCCCCCTTAGGAAAACTGTTCAAAAGAGAAAAGACACGAGAGTTGGATCACAGTACTTGCACCTACAAGCGTTTGTGTTCCAGCAGAAGCCGATCAGCACATACATATGGTTCTTGCCTCCCTGTCTTTCCTTGGCCAGACATTCCAGGGACTATCTCCACCCCTCCCTGGCACAAGTACAACCTCTATCTTCCTACTACTATTCCTCTACCCATCCACTTCCCATCAGCCATCACACAAAAAGGAGACTCTTAGCTCTTGAGCTGTTTGAGTGGTGCAAACAATCTGAAAATAGAAATACTATATAGTGCGTACTCAGGGCCTGCATCAATCCAAGTCTTCGGCTCCATGGAAAAGCTTGAGCTTAGGGGAAGAGTGACTGGATTGAAAAACCACAAGTTGTCAGCCGCGTCTTCAGGACCCCACAGACTCAGGTTGCGGGCAAGGAGGGCGTGGCAATAAGGGGCCAGATGCAGTTAGAGGCCTCTGCAGCCAAGGAAGACCCACTCAGCTGGGGTGGGGGGAAGCACCGGGACATGCTGTGGGTGTCCATCGGCCTCTCCTTCTTGCTCGGTTGAGAAAGGACGGTGGCAGTGGGTGGAGGCAGGCCAAGGCTAACAGATGTGGCGGGAGAAGGAGGTGTGTGCGCACCTGTGCGGGTCCGAGGAAGGTGAGTGTGGCTGCAGGGCTGGTGCGCGACCGAGTGTGAGCACACGCTCGTCGGCATGGGCTCTCCCGCACGAAGGCCTGGCCGAGCTGCTGATCCCCACTAAGGATGCTCACCTCTCTCGGGACTCGAGGGTTTCCCAGGGCAACCCCGGAAGCCCCCCAACCCCAACCGGAAGGGGAGGCGGCCGATCCTAAGATCCCCCGCGGTGGGGAAGATCCGGAGAGGGCGCCCCTGCTCCCCGCGCGGAGCCTCCGAGGCGGCGGGAAGAAGAGCGGCGGCGCTCGGCCGAAGGCAGAAAGGGGCGGCCTTTCCTTGCGCTGCGGCCCCGCCTCCCGAGCAGCGCTCCGCTCTAGGAATGCGCGTCTGTGGCCTTAACCCTTGCCGGCCACGCCTGCAGCTGAGCCCCACCTGGTTGCGCTTGGAGGCTCGGCGAGCTGCGTGGAGCCGGACGCTGAGCAGGGAAGGGGGGGTCCCGACGTGACGCCAAAGCCCGTCCTTCCGCCCACCAGGCTGTTCTCCTTTCAACGTAAATCCTTTCTCATCTTGGACAGAATCTGGGCTTTGCAGGCAGATTCTTACAAGCAACAAGAAACAACAGGACAGTGATGCTGACGTGGGGATCCGACTCTGCCACAGGCCCAGATGTCTGTTTTGCTCCCACATCTAGCCCAACGGCAACATCACAGGCCCCAATAACTTTACACACAAGATTAGGGGCAGCTTCACCTGTTCTTCCTCCAGTGTGTTAAATGCCCTCATATGCCAGCAATGCCCCTTCGGGTTTTACTAGGACAAACGGGACAAACTCTGCACAAAATATTTAATGGACACAAGTCTGACATCTGGACTCAAAGGAAGGGCAAAATAATATCAGAGCATTTCAACCTCCCAGGACACTCCGTAGCAGACCTCAAC